TCTTTTCTCAAACGTTCCCAATCTCACATCTATAGTCCCTTTTGATAGAGTGTGAAGAAAAAGAAGATCGCGACGAAAAAAACAACACATTATTACGCCATACAGATGCAAAGAACATAATCAGTTCTCCAAGTTCGTACGTTTTCTTGTCGATTGAGGGGAAAAAAGGAGAGAAAAACACAGAATCGTTTCGACCCCGCAAAATGCAACGCGATAAAACTACACCTCTCCGTCTTGGATAAAATCTTACTATTCCTCCTCATCTTCGCCCTCGAAATCCTCTGCTACTTCTGTAGGGATAAGCACGTTCTCAGGCCTATCATCGTCTTCCTCGTCATGCACCGGATGGCTGGCACCATTCACGCCCGCCTCGCCCATCTGCACTTCCGGCGCCGTACTCGGCATAACGCCGCCATTCGCCTTGATAGCTTCGACCTTTGCTTTCGTCATTTCATACACGTACTTACCCAAATGCTCTACATCCTGCATCTGAGCCTCGCCGGGGATGGTAGTAGCGGCGGAGTCGACATGACGCTGCGTCTCGCCGAACATTTCGTCGGTGACGAGTTCGAGTTTGTCGGGCCGCTGAAGGAGGATGTCGAAGGCGGGTTTGAGCTCGAAGACGGATTCGAAGACAGAGCGGCGGCCGAGGATGTAGAGGCCTAGGCGAGCGCGGGAGAGCGCGACGGTGAGACGTCGAATGGAGCGGAGGTAGCCTATTGAGCGGGTGCGGACAAGAGAGAGGATGATGTCTGTTTTGAAGGGCACATGTTAGTGAGGCTCCTGATAAGTTTAGAACAAAGGGTGTAAGAACTTACAGTCGTTTTGCTCGCCTTGGTATTTGTCCACCGTAGCTACTATCCTCGGGCGCCCGAACAGTGGGTTGTTCTTACACTTGTGGCCTAGGACATCGTTGATCAAACTCTTTTGGCCAGCATACGTGGTGAGAATCGATATCTTGTTCGCGGGGTACCCAAGCAATCGCATGTACATGTACAAAGCGACCGCATATTCGGCTTCACCCAAGTTGATCATCCAGTGTGGTGTGGGCTGCTCTTCTCCTTTACCCTTGTAGTCTTGCACATCGATGAACTGGTACTCGTGCTTGAAGCCTGGGTTCGCGATTTGGAACTCAGGGTTGGAGACAACAGAAGGCAGGTTAGAGAGCGAAGGATAACGCCATTTGTAGAGCTCGGCGATGGACGCGCGGGCGCGACCTTGTTGGTCAAGCATAATGGTCGGTACGCCTAAGCGGACAAGCCGTTGGAAGAGCGACTGTTCCAGGTTGGCATATTGGCGGAATGCGAGATTTTGAATGACAGGAGAGTTTTGAAGATGATCACCACAGAGGACTATACGTTGCAATGGAAGTTCGCCATTCTGTGGATTTTGCAATGCGAGTGGGATGAAGTTCTCAATCTCTGTTATTTGAGCAGCTTCCTCCATGATGACATTGTCGTAGTGGAACCCTAGCGATGCGATTTCTTGTCTTCGCATGGCAGCGTGTGTCGATGTCATTGCAATGATGCGGGCTTCCTTGACAAGCAGGTAGTTCGCCTTGTCTCGCGGGTTTCGCAGAAGCTCAAACGGACGAATGTCCTCGAGCTCTGCAAAGATCTTCTGGACATGGCGATAGCAGCCCTGTGCAATATCAAGAATCTGTTGACGGTCTACTGCAGGAGGGAAGAGAGGTTGTGGTGCATTTGAGAAGTAATCTTTGAATGGGAACTCAGTGATTATCTGCTCAACACTCGTTTCCCCGGATGTGACACTATCCCAGTACTGCGTCCACGCTGGTTTCACATAGACAAGATTGAAGTAATCTGCAGTCTCGCACGAGCTACCGTGGGCACCCGGTGCACCAAAGTTTTTGGCTAGACGGTCAACTTCAGACAAATAGTATTGTCCTCTCTCAAGGAACGACTCCACTCGTCCGTGCTTGCTGTAGCTTGCATCCGTCTCGAGGTCCTCTTCACCATGACCCAACCGCAATAGGTGACGCTCGTCGATATCAAGCGCCACAATCTTCTGGAATAGCTGATTAAGCGCCTGGTTGCTGTGTGCAACAAGCAAGGTCCGCTGGTCCGGGAAGTTGTGATATATATTGGATATAATCTGGGTCGCGACGTCCGTCTTGCCGGTGCCTGGTGGTCCGAGCACCACTGTTAATCCCGGCTGAGTTCCCGAAGTGATGGCATCAACTTGGGCAGGTGTGAATCGGACTTTGTTCAGCTTTGGCGCATCTGCAGGATATGGACCCATGTTCGGTGGCTTGTACGAGGATACGCGAACCAATTCCTGCACAGGTTGTGCAACCTCAGCCTGGTCCCGGCGCCGCTTTTTTGACGCTCGTGGTGGTGCATCCTCTGGTTCCGCTGCAACAGGAAACTCTAAAAGATATGGGGGCTCAACAGGTGCATGTGCTTCCTCGTTAGGTTCAACGGATTTGCCGGGAAATGATTGAACCAGGTGCTCCCAGTCCAAAAAGGTATCGCGAAAGTCAATCTTATTTAGCCGATTAGGGAGTCGCTTGTAGGATGCAGATGAAGGATCTCCATAGCCCAAAAAGACCTCCTGCAGCCAAGATGGTGCTGGGATATCCGAGAGGGTTAGGCGCTTGATTGACTCTAGGATCGGCAAAAAATTGTTCTCACGTCCTTTTCGGCGAACAATGAGGTTGATTTGCTCGTAGACGTTGGGCGCTCCTTTGGCTGTTTGTTCCATATCGGCGTAGTACTGCTTCGCATCGATGTTGACAAGGAGCCGTCGTTGCCTTGCCCTTGGTCCAAAGCCATCGTCACGGGCTTGTTCTCTTAATGGTCGTCCCTTGTCGTCCAGAACTTGAACCACCTGGGCACATCTCATCCGACGCAGACCAATCTCTTCTCCACTGCCGACATCCGCATGATGACCGTTTCGCATGGGTACGTCGTCTTTTCCCTCAACAGCAAGGAGAAAGACTACATCATCTGGTCGGAGCTGTTCCCAGTCCCGACGTACTGGATACTGAAGCCGACTGACATCAAGTATGATCTCTGCTCGAACATAGGCGGGGTGCTCTTCTCCGACTCTTGATGGTGCCACATCAACGATGGCAGGCTTCATGATGGGCAGTGACATTTTTGATACACCGGTGAACTTGGTGTTGACGCCTCTGCCTTTTGGTTTGACGCGTTTTACGACGTCCTCCATGTCTTTGCGAATACCGTAGAACGACTCGGCCCGGTACAAAATAAATGATCTCCACAAGAAATCGCCCATGGTCAGGTACTGGAGGTTCAGCTTTGGAATGGCAAGTGGTCGTGAGCCGTCGTAGGATTCGTTTCGCAAAAACGTAGTTTCATAAAGAATCTTTTCTGTTGGTAGTACTGACATATCGCGGATTGTGTCTTTGAAAGTCGGGCGTTGCTCGACGAGCATGATTAGGGTCTCCATGTAGAAAGCGCGATCCCGCACCAAGTACGTCGTCGCGGGATACTCTGTTCGTAGACCCATGAGCGAGCAAAGTTCAACAAGCTCTTCGTCACTCAGTGTACGCAGGTGGCCATCCAGCTCTTCCCTATTTCCAATGCTCTTGTAGTTTGCCAGTGCCATAAGTTGGAGTTTTTCTTGGAATGTAGCGTAGCCCGTCCGTTGCAACTTGGACAAAAGGTCATAATGCTGCTGATCATACTCGAGTTTCGACAGTTGTCTGCCAGTCTGGTCCTCGATGGAGAAGTTGGTGAAGTGGCTGAGCAGGTCAAATAGATCGCGGAACAGGCCGTTGTCCTCATCGGCGTACATGGGCGACAATCGGATAGCCGAGAGCATGTTGAGGTCCTTGAGTAGAGTGTTGACATATCTCCTTGTAGGCAACTGGCTCTGCAAGTCTATTAGCAGCTCCATGAAGCGCTCACAGTAGGCCATATTGTCCCTCATGTCTTGGCTATTGCTACTGTTGTATAAACGGTCAATGAAGTCCAGAAGGAGGGTGTAAAGCCACGAGCGCTCAAAGCGTAGGCGAGCCTGTAGGGCATCGTCTCCAGCGTCGTAGCGCTTCGATGCAGCCCTCCAAGCCTTGCGTAGCATGCTGTGCTGCTCGAAGTGATGTTCGCGCACAGCATCTGAATGCAGGTTCTGCCATATGGATATGCCAACTAGTGGAGCGCACTCTTTTCGCACCAGGCCACTGTCGAGTGATTGGAAGGCGCCGATGACAAAGGATATGAGTTGTGTACGGATCTTGCTTGGCTGCGAGGGGTCGACGGTCATGGACAAGATGCGACGGAAGAAGGATGAGAATTCGTCGGGCTTAGTTGAGAAGTGTTCTGTTCAGTGTCAGCGCAGTCCCTTTAGTAGCCAGCAACAACGGCGCAACGTACCCCAAGACGACAGGTTCTCCCTCCTCTTAACATTGACCATAAGGGCCAGGAGCAGATGATGGTAGTTTGATGCATCCTCTGTAAATCCAGGCCACAGATAGCGCTCCAACAGCTGCAGATTCTCGAGAATCAAGAGCGACGAGTATGCAAAGTCGGCGCTCTCCAGCTGGTCCCAGAGCTCCTTTTTGACGACTTCGGGGCGCACTTTGGGCGTCTTTTTTGCGGCCAGCCAATTCTTCCTCGCGACTTGCGCGAAGTGGTTCTCGCCATGCAGGTCGGCGACAGTTGGGCGGGCATGTAGGCTGGCTAGGTCGGCCGCATGCGCAGCGGACGCGCCTGGGGAGGTAGTGGAAGACATGGCGTCGCCCGTCGGGGTAACGTCGTCCATGTGGTCTGGCTTCATGGCCATGGTCGCGGTACAGAGAGGGTGTCGGCGCAGGTGAAGGGGGGCGCGCGCATTGTCGACGCACGAGGTTTGGCGAATGGCGTGGTGACGCGCCAAGAAGTAAAGTTTCTGGAGTGGATGGCGTTGCGGAAGCTCCAACGACTACCGGCCCGCAGTGCCAAGCCTTACATCCAACCTCACTCGCCCAGCCCGCAACAAGCACGCCCTCGGCCGCAGTGCATATCAACACCACAATGACCAACGCAGACGAGGCAGTCAGGCACCAGGCTGTCGTGCCGGACAAGCTCCCCACCGGAGAGTACCCTGTGAGTCAATTGCGTCCTCGGCTGCCCTGCAATGGCTCGCACCAACTAACGCCAACAGCTCATCGACAATGACCCGTACGCCTTTATTGTCCTCTGCTGCACATGCCATGACTAACCTCTGCCAAAAGACACCTTAGCCGCGTTTTGCGGTACACCCGCCCCTCCGACTGGGCCTACGGTGCCGCCCTCGGAAGTTTGAGCCCTGGATTGATGCTTTACTGGGAGAAGGTGTCGCCCTCCATGGTCGGCAAGGGTGGTTTCGCCCCCGTCTTGCGATTGACCGGCGCTGTTGGAGTGGCTGGATGCTTTATGTTCGCCTATTCGAGGTCATGCAGTATGTCATACACGGGCAGGGAGGCAGACCACATGCTAACACTTAGCAGTGCGTTTCTACGGTGCGCGTGAGAATCGGCGCGAGGTGGAGATGGACATGCGCGAAATGGTCGACAAGGTCAAGAAGGGCGAGCCGCTGTATGGAAAGTCGGAAATGAGCGAGTACATGCAGGGAGTCGCTCACCGAAACTCGCGCTTTGCCGCTACATTTGGTCACGTTCTCCCATGGCCAAACCTCGTCAACCACCCCTACCATGGTGTTGACACCGCAAAGTACTACCGACAGGCTGAGTTGGAACTTGAGCAGGAGAGGCTCGCCCGCGAAGGTCGGTAGAGCCAGAGAGGCTGTAACAGACAAAGCGTAGTTTTTTGAGTCACCGTGGCTGTAAATAAGTTCAAACAAGCCAAGTGAGCATGTATCAACATGTGTTTCTTGTTTTCATTTCTAGTTTACAGGAAGCCCCTCTAAGACCTTGTCCTGTCCAAACTCGGCCATTTTGAATTTGCTAATCCAGTCGTCCCGATTAATGTACGCACCGCAGATCCTTCTCTTCCCAGTGAAGCTGCTCCGTCCATGCAGCACCCTCCAGTTATCAAAGATCAGTACCCGTCCAGGCTTCAATTGCTCCCAGTACTCGTTTTCCTTCTTCTTCAGTAATGCATCAAACTTCCTTGCGGCATCGTACCACTTTTCCACCTGATCGATGGGGAGCTCAATCGACGCGCGATCAGAAGAGTTCCAGCGCACGCGCAGGAGATTCCCCGTTGCAATATCGTGTTCCAGCACAGGGAAGCCGCGGTACGGCTGAATCGATATGCCATCGTTTCCTGACGCATGTCCATGAACATTTACCGTTGCGAGAATCTCATACGCCTGCTTGTCCGTTTCAAGAAGTTCTTCAGCGACTTTGAACCCGTCAACGAGCAAACTCGCTCCGCCCTCCCCATCCGTATGCGACAGCAAATGGAACGCCTGCAGTCCCGCCGGATCGGAAAAGTACGTCGTATCCGTATGCGCTTCCAGCGCAATATTCGTATACGCCGTATCCTTACTCGCCAAATCAGCCGTAAAGTCGTAGAACCCACCATAATGCGTCTCGCGAATAAACGCAATCTTCTCCAACAACATCTTGGTATGCTGCGGATCCTCAAACGGCGTCCCATCTACATAGCAAAACCCATATTCCCGCAAATTCCTCAGCAACCCCGCCAATTCCCCGCTCACAACCCCCTCGTACTCGACTGTCGGCGGCTCACTCGCAACACCCTTATCCCACAGCGAAAGCGGCACAAGCCCCAACCGCTGCACCACCTTCGCCGCCTCCGTCTTCAGCGTCTGGCGCAGCAGCGAAAAAGGATAAAAACTCTCATGTCCATCTTCCCACACAACCTTCAACCTCCTCCCTTCCCCCTCCTCCTCCCCTTCCTCCCCTTCCTCCCCCTCAACCTCATACCTCTCCATACCAATCCCCGGCGGAATCCCAAACGAATCCAGCAACCGCTGTCTCGTATCCCCATGCATACACCCGCCACACTGGCAATTATCCCTCAGCCATACATTCGGGATCCGCTTGTCCCCCACCCACACGCTCCCCTCGTCCACTGTGACAGTATCTCGTCGCGTACGAGGTGTCGTAGCGCTAACACGCACGTTGTACGGCCCGCGCATTCTATGCTGCAGCCCGCGCCGCCGTGCCTGCAGCGCGGCGAGTTCGAATTGCGCCGTCCGGAGGAAGTTCGACATGCTGGTTGCGCGGACGGGATCGGCTCTGCCTAGGTGGAAAGACCGGGCTTTGGAGCCGAGTTTGCTGGTATATGGGACCGGGCTTATTTTTGTGGCTTTTGGTTCTTTTGGAGTCGCAGCACTGGTGGGGTCTTTGGTATCAACATCTTTTTTAGGCGGTTTGGTTCTACCGCCATTTTCGGCGTATTTGGGTTTATTCGACGGACATGTAGCCTGCATGGTGTTTAGTCAAAGTTGTACATGATATAAGACACGTGATTTGTATGTTACTTCAGAGTACGTTCTAAGTTGCGGTACATATCTCGTGACATTGGCGGTCTTTGGTGTCCATCGCGATGCTCGTGCCGCCAACATGATGGGCAATTGGGGGGTGTCGAGACAGGGTGGGAGGGTGCAGAGACAAAGAACAACACCAAGGTTTGAGCGATAGGTGGTTGTGAGCCGAGGGAAAGATTGGTCGTACAATGATGCGGAGTCACCAGCTCGGGTATCGGTTACTTCGAACTCCACTGGACGGCTTTTGGAGGCCAATATAACCTATCTAATCGAGAAAAACCTCATCTTCTGGAGATCAAAGGCACCATGGCCTAATGGTAAGGCGTTGCTTTCCGGTGGCAAAGATTGTGGGTTCGAGTCCCACTGGTGTCGTCTTTTTGCTTTTTTACTCTTTTGATCTTCCAATCAAACTGTCTCTTCCTTTATTCTCGCTTTTTTCCTTTAAGCGAGTTGGTTTTTTTGGTTGTGGAGTGAGAATACAACTACTAGGCCCCCCCACCCCCACCTTTCGAAACTTGTAGATCATCACTCGACGCTAACATGCAGAGGTTTCTAGGTACACATCTAAAACATGAAGATGCTCGGCGCAATTTCCTGTTGGAAAACGGCTTGAATCAGTTTTGAATCAGTTTTATGCATATGGAAAACTCACAAGCAAAACCCCACCAAGTCGCTATAATTCAATCGCATGTGTGTCAAAGGATATGATTAAAAGTACATGAGACATGAAGATTGCTCTCTTTTTCTCTCTCTCTCTCTCTCTCAGCTAAGCATGTATCCAAGAAACCAAAATGACAACTCCCATGCTATGCTACCACTATGACAAACAACCTCCCCTCCCCGCTTCACAATCATTAAACGTAATGGTAAAAAGTCTGAAACGCATGCTATCCTTCTTTGCATGCTCCAGTTCCCCCGTATATAGCCTGCATATGACTACCAGAAACTACACCAACCGATATAATGCTGGCATAGATTCTCCAGGTTGGTTGCTTCCTTGATGAGTCGATCGACCTGCATCTCTGTCTTCAATTCCTCTCCTTTGCCGAAATCACGGCCAGTCAGCTTCTCCTTGACGCGGCTCAGGACTTGCAAGGCACGCGCATTCTGCACTTCCTTGGCATCGGCCTCGTTGTTTTGGGGTGGAGCAACAGAGGAGCGGTGGCGGGGGCGACCGACAATGCTGGACATTTGGTGTGGGTCGGTAGTTGCGGCGGCGGTGTCAGCACCCATGATGGATTGGCGGCGTTCAGACGGGTAGTTGGGCTCCACAGGCGACGCATCGCGGTGGTTCAAACGCCAGGTCAGGAGGGGATCGTGTATGAACTGTGTTCGAATACGTTAGTATCAATGTGTTTCTTCACCTTTGACTTTATAGAAAAGTGACTTACAGCTTCAAGAACCGCCATGACACTCTCCTTGTTGCTTCGTAATACCCGCATGACATGCTCACAAGTGGTTCGGTAGCTACCCTCGATATTGCTCACTTCCATGGCATATGTCAACATGCGCGTAAGACGGAACGGCACACGCTCAGGATACTTCTCGCGGTGCATGGCCACCTCGAAACAATCTCCGAAATCGATGTGGATAATCTTGCCGGTAACTCGATCCAACATTAAGTTACTTGGGTGGCGATCTCCCAGGCCGAGAATGTATCCGACCATAGACATGACAGCGAGCGAACGCGTGTAGTTGGTACGGCGATCCAGCCAGGCTTCCGAAGATTTAGATTTCAGCCAGAGGACACGGTACAGATCTTGACCCGTCGTATTATCGAGGGCGTAACCGAACACTTCCACCTTTTGCATAAGAGTGAGGCAATCGTAGTCAGGCGCCATTTGCAACATGATACGGTGCTCAATGTTAAGCAAGATCTTCCGACTGTCTCGATACTCTCGGATGAGCACGTGCAGCGTGTCACTGTTAGGGACGAAACCAAGCAAGCCAGACTGCGTACTAAGCGGAACGGCAGCATATCGTTGGATATTAAGGTGACGCTTGCGTGACTCCACGTCGTTGGAGAGCAGGGTGTTGCAGAGACCAAAGAGTTGCATGACACGTTCATCTTGTCGAATGTCTTCGTGTCCTTTGAGAATATGAGTGTGTGCTTTGCCATCGCTGCCACGCATTTCCAGTTTCCTAGGTCGCTGTTTGGACTGGATAACAGTCGCGACTGGATCAAAGGAGATGATTCGAATAACAGGCTTACCAACCTGGTAGGTTCCAGGAACCGCCAGCTCAAGATCATGCGCTTCCTTGAGTTTTGGCGAGACATACTGCAGTTCAAGCGTCATCAGCGAAGGTAGTTGTCGCGCAATCTTGCGGAACACCTGGTAGTAGAGATCCCACGCCTGGTTGAGATCGCCTATTTCACCGGAGGTCCTGAACGTGTTGCACCAGTCACGGGCCTCCTGGAGTTCACGACCAAAAGACTGGATGAACGAGATTTCGCGGAGTGTCTCAGGGCCCTTGTCGAGCATTGCGTGAAGGGGTGCCAATGTGGCGAACATGCCGTCTATGTTGTGGTCGCCAAAGTACAATCGACTGGCTTCCTCGAGACCCTCATGCCATTGTTCGTGCCACAGGACAGCGATACGGATCAGCTCATGACTGACAAGGTCGGCTTGCTCAACCAGCTTTGGCGAGTGTTCGCGCATAGCCTCCATAAGTTCCTTTGCAGATCGCTGACGTCGTGAGACATCGGACTTCATGGAGACAGTCAATGGGAAAACCAAAGCTTGAGGATGTGCTTTTCCAACTTCAATGAGCAGTTGGTGTATGGATTGTCGGACGACTGCGTTGGGCTGGTTAATTCGAGCAAGCAGTTGCGGGATGACCTCAAGCCAAGTATCGATTGGAACCGACTTCGTGCCTTCAGTGATGGTACGGTTGACTCCCTCTCTACCACCATAGCTGAACCACAAGGTAAGCAGCCTAAGTGTGTCTTGCAGCGAACTGGTTGACGATAGTGCAATGGATTTGAAGAAGCCTTGAATAGCCGGGATCACATGATCGTGAATGATGTTATGAGGCACGTCGGTGGCCTCCCGGTCAGACTTGGATGTGATGGAGTTGATGACTTCAAAGTTGGCAAGTGCCCACGCATGCCATGCCTTGTACCAGTCTTTATTGTAGCGTGTAGCAGCGGCGTAGGCGGCGAGTATTTCATGCACAAACTCGTGGTCCCATTCACCGTCGTTGAGCTCTTGTTGCCAGTCACCCTGCTTCAGATAGCACTTGGCCAGCAAACGGTGGCATTCGGCAAGATCCGTAGGCGAAGTGCCAGTGACTGACCCGTTCATCAGACTCGACCCATGCATGCCATTGACCCCGTTGTGTCCATTCGTGGCAGCAAAGGGGTTCACATTACTGAACATGTGCTGACCATTGGACATGCCGTTCATGCCATTCTGTGCCATCATAGGGTTCACTGCGGCTCTGCTCCTCATAGCAAGGTCCTCGGAAAGTCGCGTAGTGAAGTCCTTCATGCTATCGAGTGCTTCTTGCTTGTGATTTTGGTCGGCCCACATATACTTGTATGTAGTGTAGGCCACGGGGTGCGAGATCTCGTGAGCATTGTTGCGCACAAACTCAACCACGGTGCTATCACCAGTACTCTCAATATCAAGCAACTTCTGAAGAGCCTTGTTTGCAAGGTTCATCCTGTTGCTCTTCCTGCACAGATTTGTGTATTTGATCCACATGTCGGTGCCTTCTTGTGGTGAGATGACAAGCTGGCGAACCTTGATCATACGCTGCCAGACTTCTGGATTCGGTTGCAATCCCCTAAGTCGCTTCATCCAGGTCTTGCGCATACTCTTCTGCTTCTCGAGGTTTCCCTCGTTCTGTTTGTATTGCATGATTTCCTCAAGCTCTGCAAGCATTTGCACGCGAATCATTGGCAAGTAAGCTCGCTGGTACGACTCTCCCAGAAGCGAGCTGAGCTCCGTGTCCAGACCCTTTCGAGCCTTTGCGATCTCGTCGACAGCAATTTCGAATCGGTTGTTATGGATGTTGAGAATAGAAGCAAAGAATGCGCGGTCGGGCGACTGCTCCTTCATGACACCAAGGTAGTTGTCCATGTCTGCAAACTTGCCCAGACCCCACGCAGCCGTCGCAGCAAGCGGTGCTATCGCCTTGCGATACTCTTGCGAAGCATTGGCCCACTTCTCCTTAGACAGACTAGAAAGAAGATCCCACTCGCCCAGAGCGTGCAAGCATCGCATCTTGCCCATAGTCACATCGAAAGAGTCAGGCTCTTCAAGCTCACGTCTCTGGTAGGCAGCAAGTGCCTCATCCCATTTCTGCAATTTCTCGAACCAAGTCTCCTTGAGCTCGACGTCGTGGTAATTCTGTGCCTTACGCAAAATACCAAAAGCTGCGTCGGTCTGCTGGAGCTGGTTGTTGATGCTAATAAGGGCTTCCACAGCGCTGGAGTTCTGCTCCGCGTTGAATTCGAGCTCCTTGTAGTGCAGTGCTTTGGCAAAAGCATGACATTTACCAGCATACATACCAAGTATCCTGACATCAATGGGCAGTGCTTTATCGTCGTGCTCCATAAACTCTGCCAAGTTAAGCAAAACCTGAAGAATTTCCGGCGGGATGTTTGGTGACGTGAGTGCGGTTTCGATGGACCGAACAAGTTCTTCCTGATATTGGTCGTACAACTCCGTCCAACACGAGACGAAAGCAGAGTTGAACAGTGTCCTGGCGATGGGGTTGTACACGCTTCCGAGCGGTGTGCAGGCACGTAGTGCTTGCTGTGGCGACTCCCTGAGAAGCTCGACACTGAATCTCCGCATCCATTCGATCCAATCCTCTTTGGTGGTTTTGTTGGAAGCTTCCCAAGCTTGTTTCAAATGTTGTTGGTTGACTGCTAACTTCTTGGTAAGGATCTCGGCGGGGTTCAAGTCTTCATCATCCTCGCCGTATCGCTCGTCTGGACTAAGATCCTGCGGGAGGGGTTCGCCCTTCTGCAGTTTCGATACGATACGGGCATAGTTCTCATGAGGCACCTTGTGCGCAACCAAGATTTTGCTGACCGTTGGCACAAAATGAATGTAGTCTGGACCGAGCTGGAAGATGAGGGCGCAGAGTGTCTCAAGAGCGGTTTGCTTCAGGGTCGGCTCACTGCCAGCAAGTACTCGGCAAATGGGATGTATGATGCGGGCTGCAAACTCAGAAACGTTGACCTGCTTGGAAAGTCGACCCAATGTTTCAATTGCATGCCTTCGGATCTGAACAGGTTGTCCGGGCTTATCGAACATCTTGACCATAACCGGGATAATGAGGTGCATGTACTCTTCGGCACTTGAGCCGAAGATGAGAAAAGCATGCAGTACTCTTTCTGAGGGTAGACGCTTGCCGGTCTGATCCGAGTCGAGCACACTGAGCATAAGTGGTAGCACATCAGCCAGGTAGACCTTGAACTCGCCCTCCAGCGAGCGGGCAATAGCCTCTATCAGGGACAAGATGGTGGCTTGCAGTTGCGGGCTGCTACTCCAATATTCTTTGATGGTTGAAAGAATACTGGGCAGGTAGGGACGAATATGCTGGCGCACAATACGGACTAGCTGGCTGAGCTGGTTGAAGTAACCTTCTGAGCGCCCAGCTGGTGTCGACCTGATAACGTGGAGGAAGCCAGGCACGACCTGGTTGAGGAAAGGAACGCATTTCAGGCCCATGGTTGCGTAAATGTTCATGACAGCCTCTACAATTGCAGTATGATACTGCACTAGGGAGGGATCCTTTAGCAGTCCCATGAGCGTGCTAATGACAATGGTCGGGTAATACTCTTCATTGGAGGGAGTGATACCCTGCATGATGAGGGAGACATCAGTGATGGCTTGAGCTTCCAATATGAGATGGGTGTCCGGTGATTGCTCCATGATTTTCTGGTACTCATCCGGATCTAGTGCTCCAAGGGTGCCCATGAGTCGAACGGTTTCCCTTCTAAGTTCACCTTCAGGTTCGGTCTTGGCGATGTTCATCAGGATGTTCATGAGCTCCGGGTACTCTCGGTATGGTTCAATCACATATCCAGCGTTTGTGGCCAGTTGTCCAAGCGCCTTCAGGGCAGAGAAGCGTTTGGCGTCCGATGTCTGATCCTGCATAAAGTCCAAAATGACGGGCATGAGGTCCTTGATGTATTTGATCATTCCTTCGCCGCCGACTGTGGCAAGGTCACCAATAGCTTTGAGTGTGGTTGAAGCGACCTCAGGATTTGGATCTTTGCACTTTGGAAGCAACACTTCGACAATGGGATCAATCAGTGGCTTGATGAGACTGTCGGCGGCACCAACAAGACTACTAATGAGTTTGGCACTTTCTTCTTTACTGCGTGGACTGTTCGCGTAATTCACTTCGGTCAGTAGCTGCAGAAGGACTTTGCGAAGTGAAGGAAAAACATAAGCAGGGTTGACAGCTGTCAACCGACCGATGATGGACATGGCAGCCTCTCGGATGCCAAATACCTCGTCATTCAGGGCGAGAAAGAGAGTACGGACATTGTCAGCTTTACCAAGGTGACGGTCGAAGCGGGCGTCCAATGCTACCAAGACGTCCCACCGGATATCTGAGTCAATGTCACCTACGCCGACAGTTAGAAGCTTCTCAATAATGTCGCCAACCACTTTTGTCGCGTGAGTGCTAGTCTGGTGAACGATGGGATCTTTGACAAAAAGTTGACAGCAGGTCAAGGCAGCACGCTTTCGAATCTCTGGGTTGTCTGCTTCGACATATCGAATAGCAACATCGCGAACAAACTCGTTCAAGACGTGCCCTGTGAAATCAAAACTACCCAATGTGTGCAGTGCCAGTGCAATTTCTGCTTCTCGTTGGGCGATCGTCTGCGGGTCCTTGTGGTCGCGTGTCCATATCTGTGGCGGTTGTGAGACTTGGTAAGGGCTACCCAAAGGTAAAAAGTGTCGGCCAGCAAGAATCTGGCTGAGGAGATCCAGCAGCTTTTCCTGGATCATGGGCCGTGAAGGTGGTACGTAATGAGCCATGTCGACGAGAGCCTGAAAGAGAGAATCGCTCAGCCCGCAAGAGAAGATGGGATCTAGCAAGCGCTCAACAGACTTGGTAAGGGCCTGACCGACCGCCGCGGCAATCATACTGAGACACTGGAATATCGGCGCTTCATTTATGACGCTTTTGTTCCGTGCCTTTGCAATGAGGCCTTCCTGGATGAAACCGAGGATACCTTCCAAGTACGGCGAGATGGCGACTCCCACAGCGTTTGCAATCTGTCCAATAGCTACAAATGCTTTATCCCTATCGCGATCTTTCCTAATCAGACCTTGGAGGTGGAGCATGCACTGATGGAGGTACTTTGTCGCAAACTCGGTAGGTGAATAAGCAGCCAGAATAGGGATGATGAGCACCACCTCCCTCCGCACCAGCGCATCGCGATGCTCCCTGTACTTGAGCACCTGCTCAACCGTCTCCTTGTACTTTTGGTCGTTCATGAACATGGCACTCTTGTCAAGCAGCTCCTTCATAGTGAGCAGTGAACCGTGGATGGCCTCATTGGTGTTGATTGTGAAGCCACGCAGAATTTCGTCATAGACCTTGCCGAACCAAAGTTGTCGCATTTGCGAGTCACGCGGGGATATGATCTCGAAGCAGGCACTGATGGCCTCGGCCGCAGACTCTCGGATGAGGACCTTGGGATCGCGTAGGGCTACCCAAATCACCTCGAAAATCTGTGCAATCCATTGGTACATGAGGGTTGGCGAGTTTTTAGCCAGCTCGCGCAAGATGAGAACAGCAGCGAAGCGCCGATTCTCCAGGCGTTCCAACTGCAGCCACTCGAGAGCACCCTTGACTTCTGCCTCGACAAGTTCTGCTGTAAGGGTGCCACCAGGTTTTGCGAGACGCCCGAGAGCCTTGGCTGCTACCACCATGGCTGTAATGTCCTGGCCCCGCATCACCGCCCTCAGGTACGAGGCAAACCGCGTCGTCTTCTGACCCGCATCGTCGCCGCGGAAATCGATGAGGGCGTTTAGCGCGTGGATGCCGCCGATGCGTTCGTTCGAGTCGCTGCCGGTGACAATAAGGCCCGAGATTCTGGTGTAAACTTCATTGTTGAAATTGGTAAAGAGATTGGGCGCGAGTTCTGTGCTACGTCAGTTTTCCGAAGCCTGAGCGGGGTTGTTTTTTTCTTCTGCATCGCGCTGCTGCCTCACCTCGGTGCGCCGACTCGACTGTCTGCCGCAGCGTGTTTGCTGCTCGCTGTCGTGTCTCGTCATTCTTGGAGCGTAGTTCGTGGACTATGCGGTCCAGCGTGGACGAAAGGGGACTCTGCTGCGCCATCCTGTCTGCTTCACCTGAAGCCTCTCGCAGCAAGAGCGTGGATGCTCAATCCATCCATAGAAAGGAAAAAAGAGACAAGCAAGAGAAGACGCGTGGGTGGAATTGGAGCGCAGTCAAAGTTAACTGCTGTGTCGGCACAGCACGTCGTATGTCACCAAAGCGGACTAGTAAGCTCTGACCCACATCAATCTCGCGCTAGTCCTAAACCTTACACCGGGGAAGCGCTTCGTCATGCAAAGGCCATCAGCAGCGGTGAAATATCAAGTAAATGCTACCATGCACAAGCTTGTCAATTGAATCCAGAACATGCCACGGCCACCAATAATATTATCTTCGGACATACACGTTGCTTTTGCTATGATACATTTCCACTCACCGCGCCCCGCGTACAGTCATTATGCCATATGCCTCTTTCTAACCGCCCAAGACGCCCTGCGCGGCCTGCCCAACCAGTCCACCTAGCTGCCCAAAGAAGATAGACTTCAGAATGGTTTCACCTTCTCCTACCGCCCACATGCCTGCCTCACTTAGCTTTTCGCGCCAGATATGCTTCTCCTCCTTGCTCAGCTCATCCCACCTCCTCGCCGCGGCGTGCTTCTTCAAAACTTCCTCGTCTCCCTCATGCACTTCTGTGCTGAGGGCGCCATCTGATTCAGAATCGTGATGAACTACCAGAGCTTTTGGCTCAGATGGGATATCTGCTGATGCTGTCTCGCCGGACAAGACATGAGGCAGGTGAATATGCAATAGATCGGCGATGCGGTGCGACGTCTTCACAACTGGCGAGTCTGCATTGTTGAGGACAGATTGGTGACGTTTCTCCCGCAGGGTTTCACCGAATGTCTTGTGTTGACCGGCTGCATTTTGTAGACTGGCAGGGAGTATGCCCTTTGTCAGGTTACCTTCTGGATCCACGAGTGACTGTATCAAAAGCGCTAGGACTGCGACAACCATAGCTGTGACGAGGTACGTCGCCGCTGTAAACAAGTTTCTCGACTGGGCTGTCTGCAGGACATGGCGCGATCCGATATTTTGTAGCGGGAAGGTTTCCACGCTGATCGTATTGCCCAGACTGGTACTCGCCAGACGAAGGTATGGGGTTGCTGGGCGGCCTTTAGAGGCCTCTGGCTTGTGGAACGGTGAAAATACGACTTTGGTCATTTGGAAATCGTGAACCTAGTTTCAATTAGTACACACAAATCGCAATCGCTAGGCTTTCTTCTTACATTGTCGTAACTGTTGAAAGAGTGGAAAGCACTCAATGAGTCTCTCGATGGGCCATGGTAATCCATCGTGTAAACCGTCAAGGACATGTCAATCGCCGCTATAGCAATAGCAATCTGATAGGCGCCTTGATCATCCGCGTCAAGGAGAGCGACGTCCATGTCAGTCGCCGCCTTCACGTGCTTCGGTAACGCCTTTCGTAAAGCAATACTGCCCCCGTCCTGGTAAAAGTGGAACAACAGCAACTCGACCCCGCTCCTGTTAGGCTTGTTCGCGAGCAGAAGCAGATGCTTTGGCGAAAGCCATCGTACACCTCTTAACTTGCTTCTCGCACCCTTTTCTACGAGGGGTAATGTGTAAACCTTCCGATGTTCATTTTTGCCTTTTGTCTTTCGTTGTTCAAAATCGTAGCGAACCTCCTGCACAAAAACTTCATAATCCGTCACATAGGCTACCCGGAATCGCCCCTCCTCTTGTGTGAAGATGTCGAGATCGTTTGCTTCTTGGCCTTTGTGCAGCTTAATGCGTTCTATTACGTCTTGGTTCGATGGCTTGGTGGATGTTGCGTTGAAGACTACAACCTCATTCTCATCGCCTGCAAGTCCGGAAGCAATTGCGCCGATCCGCCTATTTGGTGTGTTGGTCGTCGTTCTTTGCGGCGGTGACAATCGGATTATTCGTTGATACCCTTCCTTTTTCGCGCCAACTGATTGCGGGGTTGTAAAAAGCGTCGTCTTGCTGAGAAACTCTATGTTGCCATCCTCCTTCTCCGCACCGCTGCTGGCCCCCTTATTCTTAGGAAAGCGGAGTTCAAAGGCGCGCAAGTGTTCGTTCCGCGCAGCCAAGCGGTCTTCCTCGCTACTGTTGTTACCCGCGAACAGAATCAGGCCATCCTTGGTGGAAAGGTTCTCCAAACAGGTGATCGAGTCATCTTTGCTTGCCTCGATCTCGCCAATGGCTTCTACGGTCGGCGCTCGTGAGCTAAAGTCGAATGCAGTGATTTGGTTCTTGACTCCAGTACGCCCGGCCTAAACAACAACGAGCCGCGATTAGTACATGTATGTATACGGCTCTATTCGAGCATTGTACGCACCCCTCCGCCACCGCCTACTACGAGGATCCCGGGCCTATTGCTGGCAAAAGTGGCCGCGAAGATGGGGTAGCTTGCTGCTGCTGTCAGCGGGGTTGCGCCTAAGGGGCTACTGCAGCGCAAACATACTCTTAGCTTTCGAGACAGTAGGTCGCGACATCGGATTATTTTGATACCGCGCGACGCACGGTAGGTTGTTGCCGTTGTCCAAGCTTCGCGGTCAATCTAATCAGGGTACAAATATCCGCGCGGGGTGAGCCTCTAGGAAATGCGATTCGGGTAATTGTGTCGCGTAGTGATAAGGGTCTTTTCAGGGATGCGGGAAGATCGTTGTGTATAGGAAACAGGGCTGGATCTCTGGTTCTGTCCACGTTGCGCGCAGGAAATCAACAAGCCACCTGCGCAAGCGTCATAGTTCTGGCCAGTTTCATGGTAGGGCCTTGGCTTATCGATAGGGCTGAAACAACCAGGTTCCGCCTCCGAGGGAACAGCGATCAACGCCCATCACCCAGGGATACCATGTGCAACCCAGCAAGCAAAGCAGATATCCAATGATGCGCAACGATCACAATTCGTTGTACTCCAGACTAAAAAATGCTATCTATGATGACCTTTAGGTCGGGGCAACCTCCTCCTCGTACGCATGCTTCATCATCATCATCGTCGTCATCCCAAAAACTAGTTCCTCTTGTGGATATCGTCCTCCTCTTTTTCGTAATCCTTTGTGCCAACACACGCCGAAATCAACGCCGTCTGACACCAACAGAGTACCACTAGCCAGAAGAAACCTCCGGCTCACACCGTCTTCCGTAAAAAAATCAAAACGCCAGGATGCTCGCTAATTGGAATCCAAGAAGTCTCCTAGACCTTAACCCGCCTCCCTTCTCTTGACATTAGCAGCCTTTTACCTGCGCATACTCTCCACTCTATTCGCCTATCATGTGCATAGTTGCCAATGGGTATTTGGAACCGAGGCGTCACAACCCAAACAACCAAGGGTCGCCATCATCAGCTGCACTTTGAGTCAAGGCACATGTGCGTGCCACGTCGGCAAACGGTCCGTTTCATTGAGGTAAATGATAAGGTTGTTGGAACCATTCTACTGTGGCAGTGGCAATGGCTGTCCGTTTGCTGCTGCAGCGCGGGCTTCGGCTTGGGCTTGTGCAATGACATCAGCCTGGTGAACGGCACTTTGCACAATTTGTTGTTCGTCTGGGCTGAGGTTCTTGGTGAGGTCTTCGTAGAGCGCAGGCTGCTCTTGTTGTAGGCCTACATCATGTCAACATACAACTTGAGTACTTTCGGTGCAAACCACTTACGGAGCAGGGCATGCTTGAACATGCCGTATGGCTCGACCTTGTCAAGGGGTGTCTCCAGGAGACTCTCCTCTTCAAGCTCATCGTCATCTTCATCGTCGAGTGAGCTGAATTTCTGTGCCTGTTGCTTGTTAGACTTTATTGTGTGCTTTGGGATGTATAAGCCCTACCTCTTCGTTTAGGAAGTCGAGATAGGCGGCGCTCTCATCCTTGACATCCTCGGCTTCATCGGCTTCATTACTCCAGTCAGCTTCCTGCTCCCACTCTTCGTCTTCCTCTTCTTCGAATTCAGCCGAGTAGTCGAATGTGTCTTCCTTCTTCGCTTCTTCGCGGTCTATGTATATGTTAGTACGAACATGTCATAAGATTGCTGCTTCAAAAACTCACTCTTCAGTGCCGCAGGAAGTGTTTGGAAGAGACGCGTGACGCCCTGTAGCAGACGTGGCCAGCCCTGTTGTACGCTCACAGGAACATCCTGGGCTCTCAGTGTCAAAAGTGCGCAGATAGCCGAGATACACAGCTTCTTGTCGTGGACTCTGGTGAAGTGGTCGATGCTCGAGAACCAGAGACTGAAGAACTTGTTGGTCCATCCATTGCTCTCAAGAACGTGTAATGCCAATGCGGGGTTGTAGTAGATGGAGTTAATGACTACCTCCATCAGATGTATCCGCAGAGACTTGACCTTAGGCTCTTCATTGGTCAGTACATGCATGGTTAGTCCAATGAATTCTGGGATGTAGTCATCGACAGAACCGCGCATGTTGAGCATGATGATCTCAGCTAGCTTGCAGCCGCAGATGCGATCAACACCGCCAACCTTGTCGTCCTTGAAGATTGTCCTGACCATGTCGACGATGGCGTCAAGGTATGCTCGGTTTTGAACCAACATGGGGGTACCATAGTTGACAAAGTTTTCAAGCGCAGGAAGCATATCTATATTTTGTGAGCAATTTGATATTGATAATCAAAGATTTAGATGTACATACCTTCGAGGTAGAGCTCAGCGCCGGCCTTGAACGTTCTATGTATCAGCTCAAACGCCTGCCACATGGTGCCGGAGATGCTCTTGGCAGCGAAGGTGCAGCTGTCGATGATCTCAAAAACTTCGTTGTACAAATCTGCGAGGAAATCAGTATAAATAAAGGGGCAGGCAACCGATTGGATTGCATACCGTAAAGCTTGTTCTCGAGAGTGATGGTGATGACGGGCATCAGGATAGTCTCCAGGTGCAAGAGGACATCGGGAGTGCTCTCCAGGGTCAGGATGAGGGTACCAATGGTTTGCAGAACACCGAGCGCAGTGATACTCTTCTCATCGAGGAAGTCACCATACTCGCTATCCTCACCCTTCTCCTGGTTCCTCGATACCAATTCTCGCACGATACGCAGGTAAGTGTCGCGCAGCTGTTCGCTCAGCGCTACAGCGAAGGGAGTCAACTCTGGTGCAAAGACTTCGACAAAGTCCTCCATCACGTTCGACAGGGCATCGACATCGACCTCGTTTGCGAGCTTCAGGAGTTGCTGCATGACCTGAGGAATGTTTTGCTTCATGTTGTTTCGGATAACATCGTGACGGATGAGTGGCTGAAGTGACAAAGCTGCAGCCACGCGGACTGGGAGTGTGGGGTCGGCCATGGACTCGAGAATGTTGCGGTAAATGATGATGAGGTTGTTTTGATCCTTGAAATCGAGCTGCTCGAACTTCTCCAGGGTGTCGCATGCGCGTGCACGGAGGAAGCCATGGGGACTTCGGAACTCGGGGAAGACATGTCGTACGAAGAAGTACTCGACTTGGTCCGCAATGGGGCTCTTCTTGCCCAGAATAACACCAGATAGCGTACCAATCATACGCAACGCACCCTCCTTTTCCCGCGGGTTCTTCTCATTGTCGGGTGCGGCTTCGTAGCGGTTGACGACTTCGTTGACAAAGTTCAAGACAGTAAAGGTCTGCTTGCGGCGACTCTTGGTAAGAGTGACTAGGAAGTTGGTGGCAGCAACGTCGGGCGCGGTCACATCCTCGTAAAAGTTCAACTTGCGGTGCAGGTACTCCTGTGGCTCCTCCTGGAACAGCTCAATGTCTTCGTCAGACTGGCAAAGTACTGGGAATACGAGATGCGCAATGAGGTTGTCGGTGTGAGGCTTGAGCAGAGTCCACATGGTCTTGGGCTTGATGCACTCGTCGAGGAAGTTGAGTGTGTAGTACAAACTGGCTTTTGACAGCCAAACCTGCTTTCCAACCCACTTCTCAACCTGCTGGAGGTAGATCTTGAGGATCTCGGGCGCAAAGTTAGCAATGAAGTTCTTGGCTACCTCGGTGTAATCGACCTCGTTGTTCTTGCCCAGGGCAGTGGGGTTGCCATATCTAGTTATTGTCAGTATTGCCCGCATGCAAGGTACGACGCTGTGCCACCCACCTGACGTATAATCGGTTCAAGTTTGCATAAGACCACTTCTTTGCCTTCCACCAGTGGTTTACTTCGCGCTCGTCGAGGTCTTCGGGGAGTGATGACTCAGGGGGCTCTTTGCCGACCACGGTCAGGAACAGCGTACACCAACCAACCATGACTTGTTGGTCGCGGAGAGATGCGGGGAGATCGAACTGCATACTAGTCAGCCGCCGTTTCTGCCATGCGCGCGTTGGGACCTTACATAGATGGCGTGCTTGTACACCTTGAGCACAGTCCGTAATATCTCGCCAGCTTCCAGGCTTGTCTCGCCCGCCAGTGAGTTGCCAATGTTGAGCAACTGTGGAAAGGACATGGCAACTATCTTGTCAAAGTCTGCGCGGTTCTCGCCAGACTTGAATCTGTAGATTTTGCATATCGCCAGCAAGCACTGCACACCGGCAAACACCGACTCAATATTCCCAGCGTTCAGCAGTTGTACAGTAATGTCGAGGAAATCCGGCCATTTGGCAGGGAAATCATATGCGAGGATCTTCTGGAGGGTAGGAATGAGTTGGAGGCGCACTTGGGGTGGAGAGGCGACGAGGACGGGGATCAGACGGTTGCGGAAGGCAGTCTTCTCATCCTCCGGTATGGGTATGGCCTGGCTATACTCCTCGGCAGGCGACCAGCCCTTGGATATGCGGTTCTTGAGGTAGACGACGGCTGTGGGCGGGACGTTAGAGGGGAGGGCTCTCATGTGCATACTTGGTGGGCGCATACTTACTCGACAGACGCACGGCGTTGTTTTGCTCCTGCTCAAGAATGTCTAGCAGACCGCCGGTGAAGCCTGGCTTTTCTTCAGCCTATGTTTCCGTCAGTGCCCTGTTCGAGTATGGATCGTGTGTCGCAGCCACCACGCACATGCTTGAGGTCGAGCTCGGCCTGCTGTCTAACGGCGGCATTCGCGTCGAGCGTCGCCTGGATCCGGTCCCGCAAGCCGGCAACGTCCATGGTGGAGAGTGGCTGGCGGAGAGTGCGTCGAGGATTGGCGGCGGCCTACTGTATGTAGCAGACGACGTCCCAGGAGCCGGTGCGGTGAGAAAAGGCCGGTGGGGGTTGGGGTAAGAGGGTAAGTATATGTACGCCTATTGCTGCGGCCACAGACGGTGGCGTCGAGTAAGAATTGGCGGGAGAGACAGAGAACGGACAAAGGCACGCGTGCTTTTTCCCTTTATTTTGCGCCTCGTCGGGCTTGTGCAGCTTGTGCGGGACGTGAGGATGGAGGGGCAGCAGTTAATTTTGTGTGGACCAGAATCAGAATCGCGGCTTTCCCCCTAGCATCCTTAGCGCACGTGGCGGTCAATGCATTCTCTCCGCCCTCCCTGCCCTTGGCCCTTGTTCTATTCCCCCACCACGCACCCTGTCATGCTTTTATATCTGACTGCCAGTCGGCCGTAT